TGGGAGCGGGTTGTTTGTAGCCAGGTTGGTGTCTGGTGGGGTGGAGGGGAAGGAGCTGGTGGTGAGTAAGGGCCTGCAGAGCCTTTGGGAGAGTGTCCCGGGAGGCGGCGGGGAGACCTGCTGCTGTCTGGTGGGTTGGGCAAGAGTGAAGATTCAAGTGACGCTGCAGAGTTGGAGGAGAGTTACGTGCTCACGGTTATCTTAATCTTTGATGTGGGCAGGCAGAGCCCTCCCCCGAGCCCCCTAGGTTTTCTCCATATTTTTCCTTCACAGCTTAATTGCTATCAGCGCCGTAATTTTTAACTCTTGGGTAGACTGGACTGATTTTAAACGTGCCTTTGCAGAAATACGTCTAGACTGGTGAATCTGGTGTAGTGTAGTACTCCTTCTAAGGAAACAAGGTGGCATTCACTACCTGTAAGTTCATCTGGGAAAGGCAACAAGGTTAATAGTGGGATTTTTCTTATTTTTTTTACCACACACCTGGTCGTGGGTTCCCAGCATCCTGCGACTTGTGTCTTGAAAACTGCTGTTCCCATACAGTTAAGGAAAGGAGCAAAAGCCCATAGAATTTGGAGACTGGTTCCTGAAGTGATTTGTTGGCCATGCTGATGTAAGTTAGCTTCATTTGGCATGGGGTTTTCTTGTAAATCTCCTGTACTCCTGCATGTGACTAAAATAGGCATCCAGAGTTAGTGTAGTAGAATCACAAATTGTAGAGTGGCTTGGGATGGAAGGGACCTTGAAGATCATCTAGTTCCAACCCCCCTGCAGGGGCAGGGACAGGGACACCTCCCACTAGACCAGGTTGCTCAGCATAGAATGAGTGTAGCTTGTGAAGATTTAACAGCTGATTACTTTTTTCTGGTTAAACTGTTATCTGTTCAAATAAAGGAAGAAATTATGTTTCCTTTCAGAGATAAGCAAGGGGCCCTCTATGGTAGGGCTGATGTAAGCCTCCTCTTCTGAGATATACTTTATTTTTGAACTTGCCTCTAATGAAGCTTAATTGTTCAAAAGGAGAAATATAGTCTTTGGTTACTTTGCAAGGCTGCAGGACAGCATTTGGAACCAGTCTTAAGTGTGGAAGACTTTTCCTCCCCATGTCCCCCTGGCCTGGATCTCCCACCCAAGATCTTAGTGGAGGAGAACCAAGTGTTCCCTGGTTCTTGCAAAACCTAGGAGCTTAGGCTTGGCACCTAATGATGGCAAGCTGGTCTGAGAATGAAGGCTAAATGTTCTTAGATCTTAATGTTTATATTGAAAGATACTGACAAGGATTTTGTCTTACTGACTTGCCTGAAAATGGGTCATGTATTGAGGAATTTTTGTTTACAGTACGTAAGAAGGTACAATGAGTATGGGACTAAGGTGACTGCTTTGCCTTGAAGCAGCCTGTTGGTATATTTTCTTAGAAGATTGAGGGTGGAGGGAAAAATACTTTTCCTCATGAAAAGCTAATAAGCTGTGTAATTTGTGTACCGATGTCTAGCTGATCGTTAGGCCCTTTAAATTAGGGTACTTGCTTAATGGTTCACTTATTTGAAATTGGCTTGTGGTTATTCAGTCTTGGACAATGAGTTTTGCAGACATGGGCTGTGTTGTCTCTTAATACTAGAAGATCCTACTTCATTGTAAAAATGCTGATAAATAAAATCTGTCCATGATGGCCCATGGTACCTCTCTGGGATTCTGCTGGGCTGTGGCTCTTCAAGGTTAGTATTTGTACAGAAGGGTTTTGTAAATCATGTTTGTTACTTCCTACAGAGCTCCACCCTCATGAAGCAGGAGTGCAGCTGGCCTCGTTTGCTACATCCAAATCAGGCTGTTTAGCATAGGAAAAACTCAAGTGAGTTTATAATGGAATGAGGATTGAGCAGTCCCTTTTCATAAAGGGTGTTTATCTGGATGAACTTGTGCTTGCTGTTTAGTTTCTGCAGAGGCAGCATATTGAAAAATAAATAGTTGGTGACTGAGGCCTGGTCTTGCATGATTAGTAAAACTAAATAGGCGAGATGGATGATACTTCCTTCACTTTTCAGACTGTGGAAGACCTCATGACATCTCTTAACTTTCATTCCAGAAGACTATTCTGTACATGGAGTGGTGCAGTTTGTGACAAGACATGTTCTGTGGCATTATCTGCTTTAAGCATCAAACTGCTCTAAGACTCAGTACACAGGCAATCGAAGCTTAGAAACTTTCATAGACCTTTCTGCTTCTTTTGGGGGTGAAGTGGTGATGTATTTATTTGGGGTTATTTTGGGTTTTTTTGTTCTTTTTGGTTTGTTTGGGTTTTTTTGGGGGGTGGGGAGAGGGAAAGACACAGATGGTGTAGCAGGACATCTGTTCATCAGTTCTCTTTTAAATGCTGGAATATCTGTGCTCCTGTTCTAGTATTGGCACTAGCATGCTGCTCAGTACTTTGTCTTTGCTCCGCTCTTGCTCAGTTTCAATAATCCTGACTTCCTTTAAGTATGTTTTCAGCTGGTAATCTCTATAAGTGTGAGTGTCCTTCTCTTGTGTCTAACCCAAACCTACTCTGACATGCAGTGACCATCATACTCCTCCCTGTGAGGAAAGGAAAATTCGAGGGGATAGTCTGGCATCTTACAGAATATTTTCAGACCTTTGCTGTCTGAAACATTAAAAAAAGCCGAGTTGCCTGGATTTTTTTCCTGGTTGACTTCCTGGGTCAAGTACCTAACTTCTGTGGTAGTGTTATCTTTGCTGCATGTGTTGGTGAGTCTGCAGTCGTGTTTGGTGTGCTACCTCTTGCCCAAAGAAGCTCGTATGTGGTGGCCAGTGGATGTGTTCCTTGAGGTTTTGGTATCTGCCCTTCAAAGCATCTTTGACAGCAGTGAATTCTATGTCTCAGGTAGTCTGGTGCCTGTCTAAAGACTTGTTATAGAAATGGACAAAGTTAAATGAAAGTTCTTTGATTTGTTTTGCCCTCTATGCTCTGTTTCTGCCTCAGAGCATCATCAACAGTTTTTTCAAATGACAGAAAATGAGAAGGTAGGAAAGGTGCTGTAGTCTGTGCCCATGTAGCAATTGCTCTTCCAGCAGATTTCTTAGAGGGTTCTGCTGCTCCGCAGTGTTTGAACTCTCTCTCCTTCTCTTAGTCATATTTCAAGCTTGGATAGACACGTGGTTCAAGAAGCCTGTGAACAAGCAGCTGAAGAATACTTACTTGTCTGATGGGTATAGCTATTCTTGGACCTCACCTTGAATCTATGCTCTTCTGTCCAGACTTGGTTTAAAATGTATGTCACATGCTCTGTTTTAGGAGCAGTTATGCAAACAGTAAAGCAATGTAGAACACTGCCTTAATTTACCACACTAATTAAACTTGAGAGAGTGTCTCTGACATTTAGAGTCTCATGATCCTGTTGAAGTAGTGGTTATGTCCTGCTGATGAATCTGTTCTTATTTATGCAGAGGCCTCTGGTTATGAGTACAGAGCAGAGGTGAGAAAGGAGACAAAGCAATGTTTTGTTTTTTTTCCCCCCTTGATGTTGAGCATAGAGAGGATGTAATGTTCTTTTAAGAAAATAATCTGAAACTGTGTGTTAACATCTTGTGGTTTAGGAAACTGTATGAAGTTCTTACAGATCAAATTTCTGAATGCATCGATGTACAGTCTGTGCTTTTAAAATGCTTTTTGGTAGCATTCATACTACTAGTTGCATTTCTCATACAACTAAAGAGCTAAGGAGGAAAGAGGTCTTATGAAAGGGAGAATATCTGAATCCTGCTCCAGGGACTCTATCAGAAACTGAATACTCAAAGGTCTTTTATTTTGCTTTAATTTTACATTAATTACTTTTTGAAAACCTGGAGTAGAAAGTTTGTTTACCTTAATACAAACAGCAGATGATCATGGAATCATAGAGTCACAGAATGGTTTGGGTTGGAAGGGGTATTAAAGATCATCTAGCTTCTACCCTCCTGCACGGATGGGAACACCTCCCACTAGATAAGGTTGCTCAAAGCCCTGTCCAGCCTGGCCTTGAACACTCCTAGGGATGGGACTTCCACAGCTTCCCAGAGCAACCTGTTCCAGTGTCTCACCACCCACATAGTGAAGAATTTCTTCCTAGTATCTAATATAAATCTACCCTCTTTCTGTTTGAAATCATTACTGCATGTCCTATCACTACATGCCCATGTAAAAAGTCCCTCCTCAGCTTTCCTGTAGGCCCTCTTGAGCTACTGGAAGGCCTCTACAAGGTCTCCCCAGAGCCTTCTCTTCTCCAGGCTGAACAGCCGCAACGAGAGGTGGCCAGCCATCTGATCATATTTTGTGGCCCTCCTCTGGACTTGCTCCAACAGCTCCAATGATTGGACAGAAAAAATGGATTACATGTTTTTTTTCCTGCCTAGGTGGCTTATGATCCCCATATTTCAGCTGGGGTTTTATTGATGATGCAGTATAAAGTTTTGTGGGTGAGCATCTAAGTTGACATGTTGGCAAGATGAGATGTTAGGCTTTTCCTGCCCTTCTTCCTCTGCTCTGAGGTGAGGGTAGGGGTTCACCTTTCTTTAAATGTCATCAGGAACCAAAGAAGCTGGCCAAACATGCCAGTTCTTGGCAGGGGAGAGTGAAAAACAATTGGAAAGGAGTACAGAGTTTTGGGTTAGAAGACTGTATTTTTTTTTTTTATGAGAGACCACCTGAGTCATTAGCAACAGTGTGTGTGGGATTGTGGTGTCAATTACTCTGTGCTTCTGATGCAATGCATGACAGTATCAATGCCCTACACTAGAAGAGGCAACTTTGAGGAAGTTCTGTGTGTGTGTTTAGGCTTGATAAGTTTTAGGTCTGCTGGGACACTGTGCATGCAGGAGAATTCAAGGGGGGAAAAAAACCCCAAACCTGAAAGTCATTGTGCGTCAAGCATCTGGTATGCCTACTTATCACCAACAAAAGGGAATCTGGTGGCTTCTATAGAGCTACTTCTCTTTCCTCCCTGGACATCTCTCTCAAGAGCCCAGAACAGGGAGAAACCAGGCTTTCTTGCAGGACTTGAATGAGAAGCCAAAGATGATTCTCAAATGACCTGGGCCATGTGGTTCTCTTTAAATGAAAAAGACAGTGAATCATGGGGTTATGCATATTGTGAGAAGAAATGTTCTTGGTTTCATCCTGGAAAACTCAGATTTTTTAGATGCAGAAATTGGTGTCCGAACTGTCTTTATAATTAAGGATAGTGTGGGAGCAAAAGACATGAAACAAATGAAAGTGGGTAAGTATATGTATGTGAACTATGTATTTGACTTTGTTGCAGAAGTTTATTCCAACTCCCATGGTCTGGGAACTCACCCAGGAAGTCTAACAGGTACTGTGCCAATTGGCTGGCTAATACAAGCATGCTCTCTCCTATTTACCAAAGAGAAAGTAGTTGTCAGTATATGCTCTTAGTTACTCTACTGAATATTACTTGTTGCCTGCACTACCTGATCAGCTGCAGCTAGTGTCTGTTGATAAATTCAGCTGTATCAAATACTGAGCTTCTGGCAGGAAGTCCTGCCCTGTGTGCTGAGGTGAATGCCAGGCTGTGGGGTAGGTTCTCTAGCTGTACCTGTTTTTGTAGGTATGGGTCTGACTGTAGCAGTCTCTGAAAACTCTATACAGCTTGCAGGGTGAGATCAGCATAAAACAATGACTTGCTCCGTTCCCAACTGACTGATTTTGGGCTATTGGAAGCTTTCAGGCTCTCCTTGGTAATTGCTTCCTTCTCAACAAAAGTTTGTTGTGTTTTGTTTTGGTTTTTGTCATGCAGGTCTTCTTGAGCTCTCCTTGGGAAAATTCAGAAATGTGCTTCTTAACCAGACCAATCCAGTGGAAGCTGTAATCAGGAACATTGCAAACAATGTGACTGTTGTTGTTTTTCAAATACATGCCCAGCAAAGCAACGTGATGATATCCTTTGATAAGGTATGGTAAGAGTGTCACTTCTGTTCCTAAATGCTACTTTTCTTTCAACAAAGGTGTTGGCTCTGGTACATGTAGGAGTATAGAACTGAAGCTGTATAAATAATATTAGTATCTTACCTGCATGGCCCTTGAGATTTCTGAAGCTAAAACAATACTGTCTTTCTCACGCTTATTTGTCACAGCTGTTATTTTGGAGGCCTGAATGCTAAGAAATTTCAGAGCAGCCTTGAAACTGTTTCATGGCTCTTCGTTCTGGTGCTTTTGACATGACTGCTATCTAACAGCTTGTCAAATTAAACCCAAATTCATTATAAGTATTTGCCAGATCCTTATGCAGTAAACATGATCACTTCAGGATGTTTAGCTGTGTGCTGTTCATGTGGCTTGGATCTAACTACTATAGGTGTGATGTCTTGTTCCTTCAGCTGTTTGTTCTGAATTTAATTCTCCTTTAGTGGCATACAGAGAAATTCCTCTGCAGTACACTAGTGAAGGCTGTTACTTCTAGCTGACAATGTAAGCATTTCTACTGCTATATAGTAGCCTCAGTTTGTCTCATTGTTACTGGGATGCAATCTAAAAATACTGGTTTTTATGGTGCTGTTAGGCTCGAAGTGGTATTACAGCAGAATGTAGACTAAGCTGAAGGTAATAAATGAAGATCTGACAGCTGCCATCCAGTTTCGACCTCCTCAGCAGTATTTTTCCAAATGAGAATATAGTGAGTGCCAAGGATTATCTTGGAAAGCTTAGAAGGTGAATAACCTGTAACACAAGTCACTCAGCTCAGTTGTCTGTGTACTGGGGAAACAGCCAGGATCACAGGGTGAAGACATTACTGGTATGCTTATTCAGTCTTTGATTACTAGTGGTAGAGTTTTCTTGCTGTCAGTTCAAACCCTCTTTGCATTCATGGGCCTTACTAGGCCAGGGACAATGGTGCATAAATATGCCTGTACTACTTTCAGGGCTGGCCTGCCTCTGGAAATACGAAGCTGAGCCAGATCTTAAAGTCTGCCAGGTCCAAAATGCTTTCTTACAGATAACTGGCCTTGGACTAAAGCACATTCTCCATGCTGAAAATAGGTTTGACTGAAGATCTAATTGGTTGCTCTAACCATGCGAGTGTGACACGGCAACTGCTGCCTGATCTTTCTTTCATCTTTCTAGTATTGAAGGGGATGGTGATGGTGGGGATTGGGTCAGTAACCGACCTGGCCCCAAGGACTTGTCTGGTATGGCTAGTGTTAAGCCAGCTGTCATACAGTCATCTCTGTTCTGGTGGAGACAGTGAGGTGTTTCTGCACTTAGGTTCCCAGAATGCCCTTTAGTGCCATCCCTCAATGTTCAGTGAGGGATATTCCAATCCTTTTACACCTTTACTTGTCAATCCACTGCTGTGCAAGGGTAGCCTTCACTAGCTAGATTTCTCTGCAGATTACTTGTGATTATTAACTCTTTAGTAGTTTCAAAGTTATCACTTGTTGTTTTTGAGCCTGAATTAGGCAATGTGTGTATCAGAGACCACTCCTTTTTTTTCCAGCTCTTGCCTACCAACTGGCTAAGTGCTGAATGCCTCATCTGTGGTAACTGGCACTGAAATGTGTGCCCCGCAGGTCTGTGGCAGGAATGTAACTCTAGTGCAATACATTGAGCTGTGGTGGAAAATCTTCTGAAGAACTGCTTGTTTATAGAATTTGTTTCTGTCCAGAATCCATCTGTGAACAGCTCAGGAACTGGAGTAGACAAAGGGCTGGTTTCCATCCTTCGGCCTCAACAGAGCGTATGTACATGGTACCTTCGATCATTGGATGCTAACCAGGTGCTCAGCACAGCTATCTCTATTCCCTATATGGAAAAAGGTATGTTTTTTTTACTGCTTGTAACAAGCAGAGCTGTCATCCCTTAACAACTTAACCATGAAATGAAGTATTGCCTTCCCAGAAGTGATATTCTCACATGATTCAAATGTATTATGAAGATACCTGAAATTCTTTTGAAATGAGCTGACAATGTTTAGTATCACTACTAATTTGCAAGTTGTGTACAGGGTGGTGCTGTAAGGTCTTGTCATTACTTCAGCCTTAGAGTAGAAGACTGCTGTGCACATGTAACAGGACCTATTGTAGATTGCAGCAGAACCACTTGTGTTGTCTGCAGGGCTAGAACCTGACAATGTTATGTTCCTGCAAGGTTTTTTGCTGAGGTTTTAGAACTCTTTTCATGCTGCGTAAGAGGCAAGTAAAAAATACTACATCTATCTTTTCTGTGTTGCAGATCCTATTCCTGGGGGCTGCAATCTAGAATTTGACTTGGAAGTGGATCCAAATATTTACCTAGACTATACATTGATTGATACGCACATCAAGTTTGCTCCTGCCAACTTGGGCTATGCCAGGTATGTGAAAAACTTCAGTGCACTGAGCAAGACCTTCTTTGTCCCGTATTTGGCTAAGATCATAAAACAAGATTCAGCTGGAAATACTGAGCATCCAGCTGCTGGCAGAAGTCTTGTTGGCTGCAACAAATTGGATTGAATGAAGAAAAGGAGGAGGGATGGTAACGTGAGAGGGAGATAAAAGTTGAGAATTGTGTCCTGTGGAAGAAGTTATGCAACTTCAGCTGTGCAAGAAGCCAACAAATACTAAGTCTTCCCATTTCTTAAATAAGTTAATCTGTTTGAGGAGCAGTTGTGCATTATAGCCAGCTTCATTTCTTTGCTGGTACTGAACATGGTAATTAAACCGAGTTTTATTTAACATTGAGATTTCAAGTTGAAAGGCATTATTTCCTGAATGGTGCCTGGTGACACAGGAGACAGGCAGGGAATGGGGAAGGCTATGTTCAGAGGTGTGTTTGTAGCTATATATAATACATATACGTGTATATGTATAATATATATAGCCTATATATATAAAATATACAAATTTTATATATATTAAAAAACCCTCAAATATTGATATTGTGATCTTTGGCCTTTGTGACCTCTTGGAATTCTTATGCTGGCTCCTTATGACAACTCATAGGAATTCACTGTAAATGTAAGGGCAGGTACCAGCACAGACACTACCTGCCTCAGGGTGGTTCTGCATAATACTGCTGTAGTCTGTGCTCACAAATATTTACAGTCTGGTTTTGAATTATTTTCTGATGTTAACTTCCATAAAGCAGAAGCCAAATACTGCTAACTCAAACAGGAAACTTTTTGAAAAATAATGGTAAGATCTATGGGGTTGTGCTGGAAATGTAGCTGATTTCTTTTTAATTGTAGAGGAGCAACCCCACCATCTTGTGATTTGGGGACTGATCAGAACTCCAGGTGGCGCCTGCGCTATGATGTCTACCAGTATTTCTTACCAGAGAACAACCTTTCTGAGATGGTGCTCATGAGCCACATACAGAAGATGTCTGAGGTGGAAAGTATCAAAGCTAATGGCATTAAAGTAAGTCCGAAGCTTTGGTGTACCAGGCATGTGGCAGTGGCACTATATTAAGTTCTTTCCTCCCCTGTGCTTATCTTCCTTGAGTGGTGACATGAGCAAGCTGCTGATACTTCAGGCTTCTTGCTTGCATGTGGGATTTCTGGCTAGGAAGTGTGCAGTGAATGATGCATACAAAATGCCAGCCACTCTCTCTTGGGATAGAGGTGGCTAGCTAGCACAGCCTGAAATGTGGCAGAATTGAGACTTCTTGCAATTAACTCTGACATCAGGAAGATGTTAGTGCCTGGTCTGTGAGGTGTTTCTATGCCTTGCACCCTTCTCAGTTGAATAAGCTCTTCTTGCAGTGTCTTCCTGCTTGCTGAATATTGCTTTAGCCATAGTGCTCCCTCAGTGATGTTGAGGTCAGCTTGCCTATAGCAGTATTGTCACTAAGTTCCTGTACATCCAGAAGTAGAGCCACCTCTGACAAAGATGGAGGGTCTGCTACAATGCCTGATAGGTGCTGGGGTCAGTCATCCTCATGCTGAGGACTGAGCAAGGAATTCGAAGAAGAGAGGAGGGAAGAGAATATAGTGGGAACTGGACTAGAAATGTGAGCTGCTTGGAGTGACATAAAGGTGTGATATGCAAGAGCAAACAGTTGCTGCATGTTTACTTGCCACCAGCAAAAGAGATTGGAAGGCACAGAGCAGGGAGAATCTTGGTGGTCATCACCTGCCTGGCCTTGCTAGGAAGTAGAACAGGGAGAGCCTTGCCTTTTCAGAGGCAAAACCTGTGTTGTTAGACTGGCAAGGAACCTCAACTGTGATCTCAAGTGAGGAAAACTAAAATGTGTGAGTGGTATAATCTTCTCCCTTTCAGAAAACATAGTAATGTTGGAGGAAGTGAAGTCCATCCTGTGAGTCTTTAATGCTTCAGTTGGTAATACTGAGGGTTCAGAATTCACAGAATCACAGAAACATCAAATCTGGAAAAGACCTTTAAGATCATCAAGTCCAGCCTATGACCAACACCACCACATCAGCCAGACCATGGCACTAAGTGCCACATCCAGCCTTTCCCTGAGCACATCCAGGGATGGTGCCTCCACCACTTCCCTGAGAAGTCCATTCCAATGTCTAATCACTCTCTCTGTGAGGAAGGGCTTCCTAATATTCAACCTAAACCTCCTCTCGAGTAGCTTGAGGTGATGTCCTCTTGTCTTGTCACTAGTTTCTTGGGAGAAGAGCCCAGCCCCCACTGGCCTACAACCTCCCTTCAGGTAGTTGCAGAGAGTGATAAGGTTCCCTCTGAGTCTCCTCTTCTCCAGGCTAAACAACCCCAGCTCCCTCAGCCTATCCCTATAAGACTTTCCCTCTAGTCCTTTCACCAGCCTTGTTGCTCTCCTCTGGACCTGCTCCAGCACCTCAATATCCTTCTTGCAGTGAGGGGCCCAGAGCTGCACACAGGACTCGAGGTGAGGCCTCGCCAGTGCTGAGTGCAGGGGCAGAATCACATCCCTGCTCCTGCTGGCCACACTATTCCTGATACAAGCCAGGATGCCATTGGCCTTCCAGGCCACCTGGGCACCCTGCTGGCTCATGTTCAACTGGTTGTCAACCAGTACTTCCAGGTCCCTCTCTGCTGGGCTGCTCTCCAGCCACTCTTCCCCCAGTCTGTAGCCCTGCCTGGGGTTATTGTGGCCAAAGTGCAGGACTCTGCACTTCGTCTTGTTGAATTTTGTGCCATTGGAGAGCTCTTGCCCAGAGTTCTTGCTGATCATCTTCCTTGAGCTGCCGAGTATGGCCTCAGCTTGTATGGATGCATCAGCATGCCATCAGTATTGGTGACAAGCAGCTCCTTGCAATTAAAAATGTTCTTTACTGTTCCAGATGCTTACGCTGACAACTGATGACAAGACCAATGTCTACTTTTCCTCACTTCCTGGGCAAGGTGTGATCTACAATGTCATAGTATGGGATCCTCTTTGGAATACTTCTGCTGCGTATGTTCCTGTGCATACGTATGCCTGCAGCTTTGCTAACCTGGTGGATAACTGCTCTTCTCTCAGTAAGTTGGGACTTGTATGTCCTTGCCAACTCATCTCAAGCTTGTTGTGCTCCAACATGCTGATTGGTGCTTCTGAGATTATTTTTTTTTTAGTTTTTATAGGAGTTCTTTGTTCTAAATTGGATATATTTTGTTGTTTTGTGTTGGAATCTACTTCTTGATTGAGGAGAAATTCTAGAATGATTAAATAAGATTGATAAGTATTAGTAGTTGAAGGTTTAACTTAATGAAGGTTGAATATGTGGCTTGCAAATATATCTTTCAACTCTGTAGTGTCACTCTAGCTTTTTCCGTTTGAACTGGATACATAAAATTAAATCACTTACAGGATTACAGATGCTGGGTGTGAAACTGAGCTAATAAAACATGAACTAAATTAGGATCTATCCAGATTTTTTCCTATGATGCTGGTGCTAACAGGAATTGGTTATCTACAAATATTTTGAAAGGAGATAGTCACCTAAAATAAGCGTAAAGATAATGTCAGCAGTAGTGAAATGCTACTTTCTATAAAGTTACATATAATGTCAGCAGTAGGGAAATAACTATAAATCATGCTTCTCTGTATGAAGCTGTATAATGATAACATTTGAGCAGAAAAAGAACAAAGCTGCCACTCCCATTATGATTGCAGAAAGGAAAAGAATAATGGGTAGAACATGACTCATAGGTAAGATTTGTTATCATTATTATTTTCTTATCATATATTGTAACCCAAACTTGGTGGTGTTGTATGAGGCAAATTATCTAGTCTAAATTGCTAATTTGGAGAACTAGGAAAAAGTGGGTTATTTGTTTCAAATAGCTTAAATGCCAGCAAGAATTCCTCCTAGGAGACAAAGGTGAGCCATACTGAGATGTTGACGGTCTTTTCTCTTACATGGAAAATATATTAAAGGGAGACTGTGGTGAAGGCTGCAGTAATAAAGGCTATAGCTGCTGCCTGGGTCACTAGTCCTGTACACTCATTTTTGTAGATGATCAGATGTCCTTTTTTTAAAGCTAAATGAGAATTTTCAGGTAAAGCTGTTTCAGTATTATACATAGCAAGTTACAGTCACTTAACTGTTACAGAAGCTTCAGTCTCTCTAATAAGGAGGAAGCTCTTGATTTCTTAATTAGTCTCTGCACCTACTTCAATATTCTGTGGGAGATGCTATCAAGATAACTGTTAGTTCAGGCATTGCAGATCTGCTCACATGGTGTCTGAAGGAGTGGCAGTTGTCAGTAGATTGAGTGACAGCAACCTGACCTTACCTTAGTCTTATTGTTGGGACTAGGAGGTGCAATACTGTAGTAACCCTTTCTTTCTCCTTTCAGGTAAACTCTCTACCAAAGTGTTCTTCACTACTCTTGCTGTTCTTGGTCTTTTCACTTGCTTTTTTGGGCACAGATTCTGGAAAACAGGTACTGAATGTTTGAGTGTGTTGGTTTTTATTTTTCTTGTAAGTCTAATTGGAATGTCATAGATGTAACTTGCTATAACTTAGAATGGTGGTGTTACTGCCAAGATTCACTTGATAGTGATTACATGCCAGGTAGGTACCCATCTTTGCTTTAACAGGATCAGAGCTTTTAAGCACAGAGCAAAATGCTTCTGGTATGCAAAGAACAGAAACATAGAACTAAGGTGCATGTTGGGCAGTATAAATAGAAGTATGTAATTTTTTTTTTACTATTTGAAGTGCTTGAGGCAACCCCTTTCCGCATCAAAGTGTGGTCTGGCTTTCCTCTCATGCTTCTTGGCTAGCAAGCTGACAATGTCCCTTCCCTGTTGTGACATGAAGATACCTGATGGTGTACTGAAGTGGGCTTGGTATGAGGTGATATGACAACATTCTAAAACCTTTTCCCTTCTTCTCTAGGCTTATTTTTCATGGGCTTCATATTCATAGGATTCTTCTTCTTTGTACTCATTACTAGGGTAACTGGCCTTGTTTATGATGGTAAGTAGATGTGTCAGGATACCCCACGCTCTTTCATGGGCTTCATATTCATAGGATTCTTCTTCTTTGTACTCATTACTAGGGTAACTGGCCTTGTTTATGATGGTAAGTAGATGTGTCAGGATACCCCGCGCTCTTCCCAAAGTATTGTTGTCATTAATGCCTTAGGTAAAATTCTGAGTTGTGCTTGTTGTTGGCCAGCCTTAGGAAGGCTAGGAGGGATGAAACAGAGCTCTGATTACTGTGATTGCTGAATTCGCAACAGAGTAACTGTTGCTTCCAACATCACATAGTAGTGCAGAATTAATAGCTGCAACTATAAAAGACAAATTTGAGTATCAAAAGAAGATACAAGTTTTTAGAAACTGGAAATTTGCAGCATACTTTCTTCCTACTTCTTTCATAGTCACCAAACATCTATTTCACATCAAATGCAAATTTCATCTGTAAAATGACAGAGTGGAAGGTCTGCATCCTCTTTGTTAGGTTAACAAGTTCTTTTTTCCTAGTCCTACCTCATAGTTACTCTTTTGATACTTTCTGCATTACCTGCTGCAACCGCAGCTGGGAACTCAAGGTACTAGTGTACATAGTAGCAAGACTTTCATTCTGGTCCTGTACCACTCTTCCAGTAGCACACCCTCATTTGTAGACTGTAGTCTTAAGTGGAATGCATAAAGCAAATACTGATGCTCTTAATTTTTTCAGAAAGCTTTCATTATGTAATAAAATCAAGTATATAAGTAAAGCTGCTGAATGTGCTATTGCAGAAACTGAAGGTTTCGGTGTTGGAATTTCCCCTTTTCTTTTTCAGTGCGTCTTATCTTGACAGCAGTAGCTGGAGTTACTGGAGGGTTTTTCCTGGTTGCAAGCTGGTGGAGATTTGGCTCTGTCCTACTCTGTATGTTTATAACTGGGCTTGTGCTGGGATTTCTCTTCTCGTCGACAGTCTTCTTTACTCCACTAGGTATGCACTGTAATACTTTGCTGCAAATTGCTGGTTATTGAGTGATGTGTTCCTGCTGTATTGCAGGGACACTGCAAAGCTCTAAGATAAATGCCAGTATCTGGTTTATCTTGGAGTTATATTGAACTTGCCTTTTTCCGCGTTGGGAGGACTGAGATGTACCTGAAGCCTTCTTTCAGGTGTGCTGTAATTAAAACTACTTTGGGAGTCTGTACTGGTGGGAAAAGGAAGCTGCTTATGCTGCAGAGAACTTGCTGAGGCTCTTTCCACCTAAGCTGTGTGCCATCTCAGCAGTTTGTGACACCAGCTCTGCCTCAGGCAAGCATTTTCTGTCTGTCTTGTTCCCTAACCAGAAAGTCACAATAGAAAATCTGCGGTCTAACTTGGAGGCTTCAGGCATAAAGACATTATGGATTAAGGGGAGCTCTTGCTCTTACCTTCCACCGTACTGCAGTGCAAGGCTCTGGGAACACTGCACTGTTTAGTCAAACTTGTATTTGTAGCTGGATTGACATCATCAGGGTCTTTCTAATGACTTTGTGGGGAAACAACAGACAAATAGCTGAGCTGGAACCATTCTGGGACACCAGAATATCATCCATGCTGCTTTGTCTATTGTGATTTTAAATATCAAAGCTCTGATACTTAACATACCTTGGTGGGACAGTTTTTCATTCTCCAGTCACCTATGTTTGACATAATCCGGTGATGCAGTCTCTGGTTGCTCTTCATTAAAGTAGAACACTGACTCAGCTGGAGGCCTGCTTGTCCCCTCTGTTTAACTGGCAGGCCTTAGAAAGCAGGAGGAGCAAAGTGGAATTTAAGTGACTTAATCACTCTTCCTGAAGCAAAAAAAAATTGTTGCCTTGTTGCGATGGCTGCACTTGCACCACATTCTGGAGTAAAGCTTACATAGATGCAGGTTTATAGATTATAAACCTACGTAAGCATCAAAATGGCTTCTTATTGGGCAGAATTATTCTGGTACTTCTAATTCTTAGCTGATAAGTAACATATCTCATCAAAAATCTTTGTTTCATGGGCAAGATCTGCTGTCCCAATTTAGAGTACAGGACCTATACTCAAATGGGACAGTGTTTTTCTGTTCTGAGGAGTAATTCTGTTGCAATGCATCTTTACCAGCATTTAAACTCAAAAGCTAACCTTTTTGACACTGTACTCCAGAAACTTCTGACTGTACAGATCCTTTTGGGGGAAAAACTCATCCCTAACTACTTGCAAAAAAGGAAATTTTTTATTAATTTGCACTTTGTGTGAAATATTGTGTCTTCGTAGGAGACTACAGGGTCTTCCGTGATGATGTTGTGTTCTGGGTGACCTTTTCTTCTGTTGCATTGCTGATTCCAGTGCTTTTTGTTGGATGTCCAAGAATGGTAAGTAATGTGTGCAGTCACCACAGAAGGGGGGAGGAAGGGATATCCAACTTGTTAAGGCAAAACTGTAGTCCTGTGGGATGTGCATAGACAACTTAACACAGCTTTGTGAAACCCAGCATAGTACCAGGTCTAGGGAATTCCTGCTCAGTCCTCCTTGTGCTAAATGCTCTGTGAGCAAAGGAGTGTCTGCATTATTGCACACAGCATCCACTAACATTTGCATTTAGTCAACTTCTGCTGTCTTAGAGTGTCTGAATAACAAATGTCTGCAGCCAAATTCTTGTAGAAGAACTGTACAAAACACTGCCTTAAGGAGGTGAGGAACAGAAAGTGTTTATCAGTCTCCTGAAGATTTGTTGTGGTTTTTTTTCCCTCTAGTTGAACATACTGGCCACTGGAATAGTAGGCTCTTATGCTGTGATCCTAGCTATCGCTTGTTATGTCTACACAAGCCTTTCTTACATCTCCTTAAACCTACTCAGAAGAGTTCTCAATGATTACTTCAGCAGAGCTTATACCAATGTGCCTTTTCAAACAAATGGTAAGTACTGCTCTTAAGACTACTTAAGAAAAAAAGGACTTGAAAGAAGAAGTAGCATGGAATTTTTATTTGAGAAACCACTGTCTCTTTGGCTCCATTGAGAACAGTGAGTGTTGAGGGCAGGAAGGAGAACACAGTAAGTATGGTGTGAGATGTAACACCCAGCTGATAAATTCTAGTCCTCCAAAAGAAATACCAAATAGACTCAAAGGCATCAGCCTTCCAGCAGGGATTATGTGACAAAGACACTTGCAAAAGGTGCATCTCAGGCTTGGACTGCCACCCTGCTGATGGGTTTGCAGAGTGAGCAGTCAAAAGGCTTAATATGGTGACTGAACAGACCCATCTCAAATCCACGTGTTCTTGCCCTTTCATGGATTTACTCTAGGCTTATGAGTATGCAGAGACAATCCTTCGTTCCTTTGTGTCACTATACTTGTTCAGTGTTTGTGCTTGGGAAAGGAAGGAATGTTCTTTGACATAGGAATCTGTTTTCTCTTTTACAGACTTCATTACTCTGTCAGTGTGGATAATGTTGGCCCTCAGCGGAGTAACTGTGCAGCTTCGGCGAGAGAGAAGTGAAGTGCCCTTCCCACCACACCCCTATCTCACCTGGAAGCGGGAAAGGGAGCGCAGAAGCACCAACGTCCTAGACCCTAGCCATCATATCCCTCCCCTGAGAGAGAGGATCCATAGCAAGCTGCTGCATATCAAAGAGATTTTTCAGAAAGAGCAGCCAGCTGGGGAAAGAACTCCCCTACTCCTTTAACCTGCCAAATAACTGATGGGAACAGAGAGGAAGAACCTAGGAATGGTGCAAACCAGCCGGTGGTGCAGGATTTACCACTGCCAACTTCTGCTTAATAAGAAGGTTATATTTGCCCAACCTGGAGGAGCACTTATCTGTCTTGTACACTACATGCTATTTTGTGACACTTTCGGTCAATGGCCCACTTAGCCTGCTGTAACGTGTATGTCTGGCTGCAGAATCTTGTACTGATGGCCAAGTACAGGTATTGTGGTGATGTCTAGGCATATGAAGTATAAAACAGTCCCTAGAAAGCAACCTGTACAAAGTTGGTTCTTCTCTCACTGTGGAAACCATTGCTGAAATATTGCCTGACTCACTCCTGAAGGTGAGCAGTCTCTTAAATTGCAAGGGAGGAGTGATAAGGACCATACATAGAGGGAACTCTTCTAGCAGGAACTGAAGTATCACCTTTTCATATAGGTACAAAATGCAGATATAATTGTTTCCAAGAAGTATTACTGAACCTTGCAAGCTAAACTAAGTGACTTGAATTGAAACTGCACTGAATAAACTATTATAAATATGCACACTGGGGCTCAGGAAGTGGACCTGAACTGAGACAAGATTTTCTCCCTCACTTTCAGATGGTTCTGTAGCAACCTGGTCATCTGGTCTCTGTGCAGAGATGACTGCTAAGAGAACATAAGAGGCTTGCCTCCTCGTTAGCTTTCTTAACAGCCTGTGACTTGCTTCTTCTGCTCTGGTATGATCTCTTTTTTGATGGTGCTGTCATAAAAGAAAAATCTAAATAAGCTCTTTGTAGCCAATGGTAGGGTTTTTTTCCTGGAATTGTCTGAAACACTAGTTTTATTTTTAATCAATATATTTTAATTTTGCCTTTTGAAGACAGCACCCAGCTGGTAAAATACTAAGGTCCTTGCTGACTGAATGTGTTCCTTGCCAATTTGGATTGCATCTGCCCAAAGCAGGATGCAGTAAAACAGATAAGTGACCACTTAGTAAGCTGTGATCTTGTGTGGTGACTTTATTCAATTCCTTAAAAACAAAATCAATAGCCATTTTCAGAGTGTAAACTGGAGCACTGTGGGCTTGTCTCACATAAATGTACCAGCAGTCCAGAGGCTGTCCTTGGTTTTACCTGCCTTTGTCCCCCACACCCAATCCTGGTCTTCACATTCAGTGTTTACATGGTGATTAAATGATGCATTAAATGATGAAGTCTTGCATCCTGTACCTTGATACAGGTTGTGGTGGCTCTTCCTTCTTATTCTCATTATCTTTGTACTTTTAGTGTGGGCAGCAAAGTGCAGAGTCCTTCCAGCCTGAGGGATAAATGCTGTATTGCTACCTGAGTGGAGCTACCATGAGTGAATAGCCTAGTGGTGGAAATGTAAGTTCTTGACCACTGCTTTAAATTCTTGATAGTATTTAAGAATCAACTCTTTGTACAGAAACTGGCAAAATAACTATCTGAGAACTTAGTTGAAAGTTAAAACACCCTGGCAGTAGAAAGGAATTAATGACTTAGAAATTACTCACCGATGAAAGCGAGTGAAGGCTTAATGACATAGTATCTGAGGTGACTGAGCCAATCTGATGTTCAGAGACAAATCTCATGATTGCTTGGAGCTGAAACATCTTCAAACAGCAGAGCAAGGCTGAAATCTTGTGATTTGGGTCTTATTTCACTGTGCTGTTGTGTGGCACATGGGGGTAAATGAGAAGCTCTTTTCCTGGCCTCTGGCAGACTTACTGCACTGATCCTGAGCATGTCTTTGCCATATTCAACGGCAAGTAGCAAACACCTGGTATATAAATGCTCTTGAATGTGTTTACCTTGTTTTTTATAACTGCTGTGATTAACATTGTGGAAAAAAGTTTAACTCATTTTCTATATATTTTATAATAAAGATGTCTTTTGAAAGAATACTGGAACTAAAGAGGTCTCTGAATTCAATGATGCTTTTACAACTCTAGCTTCTGCCTTTGGTATCGTAGGGATAGTTTGTTTTGAAAAATTTCTTAGGCTCTCATGGGATGAGGTAGAGGAAGAGCTTAGCTGAACTGTTAAGGGCTTTACTGTAGCTGCAGTGACACCCAGAGGCTGACAGTGTGGCCACGTATGAAACCAGTGGGGAAGTGCGTGGTCTGAAGCATTTTTATAGGCTCATCAGATGAGGTTCTAGAGAACAAAAGAATGGTGTCTTTTGCTCAGGAATGAATCAATTTTTTGACTGAAAACTAGCCTGCAAGATCATGTAGGAATTCTATGACAGAAGGAAATCTGGATCCTACCTGCTGTGCCTCTGTTCTAACTATGGACTCTCATTGGAAGCATTTACTGCCTTGCTGCATTTAGCTGCACTGCCTTGCAGTTGTGCTAACTTAAAATAATGCTACATTATGCTCCTGGGGAGCCTACATCTAAATTATGTTGTTCTTAGTAGTGATTCAGTGTGTTGAAGCTAAGCTGAAGCTTTTGGGACTACTATGATTATCTACTTCTGTGCTGGTAAATATACCGCCATGATGCTTCAGTACACTTCTTTCACTGCTTCTCATGCAGTCTGTGCTGCACTGTAAAAATGCTGCAATGATCACATGGTGGTGTTTATCTTAGCTGCTCGTAGAGATTTCCTAGGTTTGCATGTGTTCTGGTCCTGCCTCAAATCTGCAGGAGAAACTCTCTACCTCCCCTCACTCTTGCACCCTTGCTAACATCCCTACAGTTCAGGCTGGCACTCCACAATGCTCACAGTCTGCTCAGGTTTCTCAAAGCCAAGCTCATGGCCACAAGGAAGTAAACAAAGTAAACGAAAATTTTCTCAGAAGTCTCTGTCATGGGTTTTATATAACACCCAGCAGCTGAGCCCCCCAAACAGTTCTGATGTACACAACATATTTCCACCAACCAGCTGAGAAGATCCAAAAACAGTGACCAATACCTTTTCTTCTGCACAAGCACTAACAGCATGGACTATTAGATTGGAAGATCTGCCCCACATTTCCCCCTTCCCACTAAGGAAAGCCACTTGCATAGGATATATAACTGCAGACATGGCATTTATTTCATGGGGTCCTTCTACAGTTTCCCGTAGCCTGCTCCCAAATCACAACACAAAGCTTAGGAAAGGGAAGAGCTTGCCTTTCCCCCTTACCTCCTTCCTCCCTACACCTATAGAAAGCCAGGTTTGCTTCTATTTTCCATTTGGGGAAGCAGGTAGGCAAGCTGCCTTACACACGTTACACTCTGTGACATGCTGGAACCAGACTGGGGTTCTATTTTTAAGACAAGAACAAAAGGAAGATCTGTTTCTTTGAAAAGATCAGTGTCCTCAAGGCCAATTGTGCCACATCTTGTTTAACTGTAGGGATGTTAGCAAGGGGATTAGTAAGATTTCAGGTTTCAATTTTCATAGAAACAACACCTCAAATACTATTTTTGTTTGCTCAAGCAGATGCTTGCTGTTTATAATACTTTTTATTTATGATATCAGACCCTGTTTGCTAGCACATGGCTATAGGCAGGCAGCTGTCTTCTGTTGAGTATACAAGACATTATACTTTCAGGCACACTGAGGGAAAACAACTTCAAAACAGAGCAATAAATTAGCTCATTTTGGAGGGTAAGAAGGAGGAAAAAAAAAGGTTGTGTGCAATTTACCTCCCTGCTTCAGAACTGTGTTTTCACAAGTCTGCCTTGTCAAAGAAAGTACCCTTTGCAAGTTTTCCAGGTGATTCTTAGTGCTTTCTGGTGTAGCAACAGATTACCTAATGTACTCAAAATGAGCTGTATTCACTTTGTTTCTAATCCTTGAGGGAAAAGTTTCCTCTGGGGAAAAGTCAGTGTAGGAAGCAAAAAAAGGACAGAGTATATCATACGAGGCAGCTGCTGTTTGCCTAGCCAGTAATTTAATGAGTTGCATATGATGATTCATTTAAAAAATTGTTTAGTATGTTCCTGCATGTAGTATTGGCAAACTGAAGATGCTGACTGCCCTGCATGCATTAGCTGTTGTACTGTTGAAGCTTTCAACAACTGAGTTTTCAAAAGTGCATCTAAATGCTTTTCATTGCTGAAACAGCCATCCTTAAATGTACCTCTTAGGGTATTTTTAGTGGCAAGAATGTTGTAGGCAAATTATTGATTCTGCCATTCTTAGGAAAAAAAGGTAGAACTTCATGTAAGGGCAACTGAAAGGGACTGCTGTTAAGAGTTCTGCTTGTTTCCCTTATGCCACTGTCCTCTAGCTGATGTCTGAGGAATCTTTTCCTGACCTTGGGGAAATAATGACATTCTCTATCCAAAGGTGTGGCTATGCTGGCTCCCAACAGGTAATGCTGCTTCATCAGAACACGGTTGGGAAGGGAGGTGGTTGCAGACAGCAGGAACATCGGTACATTATGTCATAGTCATTGAAATAGCATCTGGTTTATTTTGCAGTGCACTTTAAGCTATGGAAGCTAAACAATTTTCCTTAAATGGGTCCACTCTGGGACATCAGTGTGAAATTCAACTGCATCACAAATTAAAGAGAGTGGGATGGGCAAAAGGTGAGACTGAACGTGACCTACACCTCTACCAGGTATGTGTGTGAGCTCTGTGCTGTGCGTGGTTCTCCCAGCACCTTGGTGTTCTGGAAGGGCAAGTCCAGCAAGAGGTCCTCTGCTGCCATTATACAGAATCTGCTTTCCTGTTCTTTAAACAGTAGCAGCAGGCACATGTTCCAGAGTGCTGGGTTGGACAGAGGTGACACAGTGTACAGATTTTTCTAGGACAATAATGAGATGGTTCTTGTTTGCACAAGTTAAATGGAATTTCTCTGAGAAAATGCCTTCTGTGACAATCCTACAGCCAGCTGGCAGCTTTTGGACACCTACAGCAGAGCAGTGTTCCCGCCACATCTTGTTGCTTTGTCCTTTGGTCTCTAGTGGCAGCAATTAGCTTGATGCTGATTCCAGAACTGAAGCATTATCAACAGCATGATGTGGAAAAGGCTGCTAAAGAATTTGTCTAATGCTAAAGCTAACTCCTCCACAATGGTTCCTTCACTTCTAACAGAAGTTCTTTTGTTCTCCCACTCTTACTGGATACAACCTGTCATACTGTGGCCAGCAATACAGTGTTCTCTCTTAGCTAATTTAACCACCTGTCATCTCAGATACCAGTATTTGCTTGAAGAACAAGCTATGCTTTACACTCCAACAGATTTAGAATGCTTTTGTTGGAGTCAGCAAAACTTCTTTTAAGCTTAATGATTATCAAATGAAACTGGTAATTTCTTAAGCCAATGCAAATCTTACTTTGGGTTTCAACAAAGGGATCCTAGTGAATGGAATTCTGCATGAAAACAGGGTCACTAGCTCTGTAGTTAACATAACCTCCTAATCCAATGTGCTTGTTAAAAAGCCAAAGCTATTTAAAGCTTTTAGTTGTACAGAACAGACCAATTCAGCCTCAAGTTGCCCTTCATTTTTACCTCAGTTGAATAGATGCTACAGGTACTTATGACTTAGCTTGACATTTATTACCTGTCTATAAAGACAGAATTTATCATGCTGAAACAAAGTTTTTCTTTTGAGAAATCATGGGGAAGTAGAGAAAACATGACACTGTTGGCTTATTAATGTAATCCACTGACATTGCCGTTTACACGTCACAAAGGAATTCAGAGCTTGAATCAAGTCACAGTGACTGTTAGAATCTTCAAGAAAAAACCCACATCCTATTGGAGCCAAAATATGGTTTGATCCAAAAATCAAAGCCCAGTCGACTGCTTTTTGCTTATTATTACTGTTCCTCTGTATTAGTAAATAATTCCAGTGGTTTGTTTGAAAGATGAGCAAGTGCCTGTGCAGAAGTGATTGTCAGTTTTCCAAGAGAAAATGAAGACCTAACAGAAGAATTGGCCTGCCTGCCTTAAAGTATAAAAATAAGCTGAGCAAAAGACACAACTGTCTTTCTTCTTCCATGTTACATATAAGTACACTGCTTTAATCATGAAGACATGAAAATTTTCAGTCAACTTTATTGATAAAATAAGTTTACTGTACAGTACACAATTCTAGCCATAAACTCTCTTCAAGCCATCTGCATTACAAAAATAGCAGGTATGCAATGAAAAATAGTCACTCCACACACTGTGAAGGTTCTTTAAAATCCTGAAGTGATCAGGTCAGGGGAATGACAGGGAAGACGTATCAAACGTGAAGACTAGGAGTAGATAAATTAAGTCACTTTTTTTTTAAATTTACAAAAATAAACACTAATCAAGCATTATTTCATCATAGAGCAACCTTAAATAACTGCCAGAGACTAACAACCCTCCTCTGCTATACAACTCTGGAAACTATTTGAAAGGCAAAGCAGAAGTCAGCCGTGAAACTGAATTCAGCATTAAATGGATGTAAATGCCTCTGATACCAGTCAATGGCTGAACAGACACTTCTAAGAAGAATAACTTAATCAACTGAAGCAAATGTTTCTCAAAAGTTTGCAACAACAAAACACACTCCACTGAGAAAAGATGTTGTTTCTGCTAAGTCACCAGCTTGTAAGCTACAGTAGAAATGCAAAATCTAAATTATAGAAGCATTGGCAAAGTTTTACAGGTAATAATAGCAGACAAGGGGATTTTGTACCTGAGCTAAAACATTCCCAAAAAGATTCCCCTCAGATGTTTAGCAAGTTTGGAAACAATTAAATTTTTGGGTTTTTTTCCCATGCACATTAATGTCCTCAATATATTTTTAAACCTAGAAACAAGCTAAGATGCTTTTGAAAGAGAAGTAACAGTTTCTCCAGTTATAAAAAATGCTGTGAAAACTTGAAGCTTGATTTGTCTGTCCTTTCAACTGCACTTTCTAGCAAGTGTATTAGTTAATTGAATACTAGCATTTATTGTCTTTGCTAAATGCTTCTTTCTCACCACTTGTTTCTCTTAAAAGCACTACAGGAAGTGGGGCAGCAAAAGAACAAAAATATTTAGCTCCCTATAAATTAGTTCACTGTGCAATGAAAATTTACCCTTAGAGCTGAGGGTCATCTGTCTTGAGGGGAAGGTACAAGGAAGCTGCATCAAGTCAAAGGAAGTTGTATTTAAACTGACATGCTTAGAAGTGCTTGATGCTTCAGTCTTTTTTGCCTTGCTGCAACTGAAAATCAAACTGATTAAATGACAGTTGATTTCAGAGTATGAGTGCAACTCATTTTGTTAGGCAAGTTATTGAACAGCCAAAAATTCAACGGTAGGTGGCATTTGTAGATCTCTGATTTTCTGCGGCTGAAAGCTTTTGCTGCTTTCAATATGCATTCCAAGTAAAGAACACCTTGGCATGCTGGACAAAAAGTGATGGGACACATCAACACTAGGAATGTTCTTGCTGCCATGACCAAGAAGTGATAGTCTGACCAAAAAAAAAAAGCCAAATATGAAGTATTTTGGCACCTCTCTACTCCAAGCCTGTCTTGTATAGCACTTCTATCATACCTGCATATGCTGCACTTTGATTTAGAAAAGCCAATTCTTTTTTATTTCTACAAGTATTTCAGAGTTAAAAGCAAGTGGTCTATTGGTCAGGATAGCATATCAAAACATGTGCAAACACAAGACATACCTGAAACTTACTTCAAAACCCTCTTGATTATTATTTAGTACTTAATAGAGTATTGATTCCAGTCCTGCAGGCTGCCAACTTTGCCACAGAACTCCTTCCTTCCTTTCCTTCCTTCCCCCAACTACCTTTCTGTTGCTGCTTTTTGGGTGCTATCAGATTGCTGTTTCCAGTCAGGAAGCCTGGCCAGGCAAACACAAGAAGGTATCAATGGGACTAATGTGGCTTCTTACCTATCATGTACCTTCTTATCTGGTTTTCTCTCATACAAGTAAAAGCTAAGGCAGAATGACACCATGCCACCTGTATTTCAGAAAACAATAGAGTAGGAGCAGCTCTTATCCTGTTTTGAAAATACAATGAAGTAGACATATATTAAAGAATCTCATTCTATTAAAAAAATAATAATAAGCAATGCTTTTGCAGTTGTTCAACATTTATGTTTAAGCAATTGGCCTTATATTTGAACGGGACACCCTGTAGCCAAATAACTGAAATCTTAAAAGTTTTATGCTGCCTGTGTACCCTTGCCATTAAAAAGGCTTGTTGCAAAAAGAGAATGTATTAAAAACTTACTAAAATGAAAAAATGTCACCTGGATCATGCACAAAGCATACTGGTGAGTTACTTCTTTTTAGCTAGAGATCAAACATTATATCTTACCTTTGTTATGTAATAGGTGCACTGAAACCTTGTATGAGCAATAATTTCCATAAATTATGTGAAATCTTGTCTTTTATCTGTTGAATGACTTAATATAAAAATAATTCCCAATTCAGTAAGTGCATTAATCCATTTTCTACTGAAGTTAGATCTATGGCAATTTATTTGTCACTAAGGTTTTTGTAGAACAGCGATTTTAATTTCTTTTATCCAGTAAAAAAGCCACTAAACTGGAGTTTAAGATGCATTAGCTCGCTGGTGCCCTATTCAGTAACAAGTGCTTGACAAGTGACCCCTGATACTTTGTAAAGTGTGCAACTGAAAATTGTTGACTTCCAGAGTCTTCAGCTTTTTCTCAGGCTTAAATCACTGCTTGTTACTAATCCTGACAGAGACGTGCTCTCTGACACATCTTCTTTCTTGAGGTTCAGGAATGATTCTCTAGTTATTTGAAGAATTTCTCTCAGACCTTTGTTTTCTTGCTATAACCAGAGAAGAAAAGGCATTTAATAGAACTCCAGAAAGAAGTCAAGATAACTGCATCATTCATCTCCCCACTACTCCAAATGTGTAAGGATTAAAATACTGCTTTGCAGTCAGGTAGTGCTGTTACCTTTTAAAACTAAGAACATAAGGTTTCTGACACATTTTCTCTCTCAAGTGGCATTAGGCATTAAAAAACCACAAAGGTAAGAAAAGGAATTAAGTTCAAATGTTGCATTTCAAAATAATCTCCTGTTCTCTCAACACACTGTGACCCATAATAAACTGCTTTACTAGCACTTAATAAAATAGCAATAGTGTTTATCCTCCAATAATAAGCAACTGAGAATGCCTCCAAAAGCACAAAATTATTTTAAAAAAACCTATTAAAAGCCAAAGGTGTGGGTATTATTTGCATCCCAGTGTCTTATTAGGATGAATTTGTATTATTTCCTAGCACTCTGCTATACTCAAGACTTAAAAAAAGGAGAACAATTATGTCAGAATATAAATCACTGATTTCTGGTGGTGGTTTCTACCTATGCAGGATGTGAGAGGAAGCTGGAGTGGGGAGAACAGTACTTACAGCCCAACCAACTAGGTGAGTGTAACACAATAGCAGTGTAAGTGAATGGTATGTTAACTCAACAGAAAAAAAAAAAAAAGTGTTAACTTTTACTCCCTTGCTATTTGTGCTACTGCTGCTTTGATTTCATACTTACTTCCAGCTGAATGATACGCTCCTGCTCTTTACAGCCATGCTTTTCATCGATCTCAATGGCTTTTCTCATTACTGCTGCCATTTCTGTAATTTGGTCCACATGCACTTGCAGCTCCTCAGACATAAAAAGAAAACAATTACAGCTTTAGTAACATATTTTATGCATTATTAAAAATAAGCAAAGCATTAAACGTGTGTTTTAACTACTCTGACATTTAAGAAAAATGGGAACACAGACCTAACTTTGTGAAAACAAATCAGCTCTCTATAACTGAACAGCTGCTGTGGTCTTGTTTATTGCAGTCTGGTTTGCCATCCCTTTTATTATAATTTTATATTTTTAAAAAAAGCTTAAATTACTGTGTCTTCTGTAGCTGTGACGTCTTCCCAGCAGCTACGTGTTAGGGAGGCCTTGTCAGAGCAAGGACATGGCTGTGTTGCAAGAGCTGATGTACATCGTTTCAGATGTGCAGAAAGACTTAAACCCATCTAAGAACAGCAGGGTGTGTGACATTCTTGAAACCTGATCCCAAGTCTGGTGCAGGCAATACCAGCCCATGGGTAGGCATTTGTTTCTTAAAAAGACCAGGTGAAGTGGTCATCCTTACTATGTCATGTATTAGGAAACTCAGATCTCTCCTTGGCTCTTTTTTAGATACTTCTGCTGGAACAAAGTTCCAATCCCATCTTCTTTGGGATGTGGTTTGCAGAGGCCCTGGTCCTTGCTGAATTGTAAGAGAAACTTTTGTGTCCTGACTGATCTCTTTGTGTCTGTTCATTAATGCTCATAGGGTACTTTCCTATTAGAAGTAAATAACTACCACATCTTGATGAAAGATTTAAGAAGGAAGAAAAACAGAGCAGTAGTTTGGTTTATTCTTGTTCTGTTCCACTGCCAGGAGTGGGAGCCATTTACATAGGCATAACAGCCTCTGCAAGGAAGGTAAATTTTAGATAATCTTTACTGTTGGCAGAGAAATGATCTCTTGGACTTTGTTGGTTCAGATGATTGTTTATTTTCTTGCTGGTCAATGTACCAGCAGGAAATGCTTTCAAGGGTCACTACTACTTTTCAGTCTGTGCTTTTGGCATGTGTTGCTGCTCAGTTGACCCAAATATTTTAATGGTATTTCTAGAAGCTTTTATTTTTCATTTTCTTCTCTTCAACTTGTCTCTTATTTCAACTCTACTACTGTGCCAACCTCTCCGTATCTGACCTCACCTTTGGACAAACTTCACAATAGTTGCTAATGAGTATCAGGAAAAGCAGAACAGCAGGACTGAAATTAATAACAAGTAAGATCCAAGTTAAATCCCACCTTTACATTATGAGTTTGACCAGAGGATCATACCTCTAGCCAGACTATCAGCTTGCCTTTAAAGTACCAGAAATTACTACACTACCACAAAGAACTGCCCTGCTTGGAATCATAAGCTTTACCTGATGAAAACAAATACACTTTACTAAAATAAACATCAACCCCTTCCATCCTTTCCTTTCTGCCATTCCAACTGCCAAAGCTGTATTTTAGCTGTTTACTCTTTAAATGCCTGCTCACAGCATGGGGTAGGGGGAAGGGAAGAAACTTGCTGTAAACCTTTGAATTTTCTTCTTGGTTTCCAGTGAAGGTGATTACATGAAATATATTTTTTCAATGAAAAACTAAATTTAGCTTGAAAAGAAGCTGTGATCAGGGGTAACAGAATGAGCTGGCAAGGATGTACCCTTGAGAAGGATCAGGAAGGAGTTAGTGGTTTTTAGATAAGCTGCTGTCCTCTCAACTTCCTATTTTGCTTGCCTCTGTGGCCTCTTGGACCAACATGATTTAGGACCTTTTCCAGAGTCACTAATCAGATGTTAACACAAAACTGTAAGGTTCTACTCTGAGAGGCAGATGCTTAGAATTTAAGATATTGCAATATCAAACAATGTAATGAAAGTGTTTCTTTACAAAGGTAGCTTCAAATATTTATGAAGACTTGTTGTATCTCTCACCTTTTTACTTGCATGCATCGTTTCTTTTCTCTGAAGAGAAAAAAAAAACCCAAGTGTTCTTAGGCCTTGTTTCAGTTGAGCGAATTGAAACACCACACTTAAATCAGGGTCATTACTACCAACACACACTTTTTCTCTTGCATTCAACACTGGTACAATAAACTGTTTTTCTATTTGAAGGAGGTACTTCTTGATCTGCAAGAATCAAGGATCTTGTAATCTCTTCTCAATAGGTGTTAAAGTTAATAGCTGCCACTTGAGAGAAGAGCAATTATTGGTAATAGCAAAATCAATTCCTTAGGTATGATGGATTTTTTAGTTAATAGGAGAGAAGTATTTAAAGACTGCTTCAGGAGTGTTCCATCTTACTGAGTGTGAAGGCTGATCAGAAGAATAAATAATGAAATTCCAGAAATCCTAAGTGTTAGGTTAAGGGTGATAAATCCCCTTCACCAGGCATTCTTGTGGAATCAGATTTAACCTAGCCTACATTTCCAGTTTAAATAATATTGTTCAATGGTGTTTTCAGGGGCTTTTTTTTTTTTCCCCAAGCTTTTAATCCACAAAAGTGTTCCTAGATGAAATTTTATTTGTCCTGAAGTGGACTGTGAAATGCTACCCTCTTGCCTTGGTACTCTTGAGGCTGTAAGATATATTATACAATATGCTAAGGTAACTTCTTCTGAAAAGCATATACCTATCCTTTTCCAGGAGTTTATGTTAAAAGATACTGCTCTAATCCACTGAAGTCTTTCACACCAATATAAGTAGTCCCATTGATTTCAATGGCATAATTATATACATGTGATTTTGTAAGGAGATCAGAAGGCACCAAATTCTTTAACTTTGTTTTCCCAGTATGCAGACCCTAACTCTGCTGTGCAGATTTAGTTTGTTGTGGCAAAGATTATTAAACACTTAGAACTAATGTTTGTCTACACATTTACACTGCTCTGACATGGTTACATTTCATTTAAAATGTAATATAATGCTTTGTTAGCTCCTCTCTAGATCTGCTAGTGACCTAGAATTGTTAATTTTCTTGAAAACACGTTTTAAAAGCCAAAACTATATATTAATGCTATAAAAACATATTAACTGCATGCAAAGTTGCTGAATACTCATATATGCCTCCCTCATGATAGTTTACAGAACTGTTGCTTGATAGCACTTTGTTTTTCTTGTTTTCAAAAGCCACAAGATGAAGCACACCTAATACCAGCAGCTTTCACTGTCCATCAAGCATCTCAGGCTGCCCTGGATTCTACTTAGCAATCCAGATCAGTACCAAAACAAAAACCAAGGGTAGAAGCAGGAAAGAGGAGAGAAGTTTGTGTTCAGTTATTCAATATCCAAAAGAACTTTTACATAAAACTTAAAATTTTCAGTATTTATGGGAAAGATATATTTGAATATTGTATTTGAAAACCTTGCCCCTCCCCCCGTCCTCAGTAAGCACAGGTTTACTAATTATTTGTTGGAGTCAAAAGGGTAAATTAAAAGCAGTCTAAATGTTTGAATGTTACTGAGATCTATGGGCATCTGGAAGTAAAATGCTGCAGTTGCCTTAAAGACCTAGGCAAAACAAAAGTAAATTAAGTAGATACAGTAATGAAATGCTACTTGGTAAAAGCTTAAATAAATCAGAAGCTAGTAAGGTTGTCTTACTAGACTGATCAAGTTTCCTGTTTGTGTTTCAGGGACTGGATTCTAAAAATGAGGAAAACTTACTGCAGTGGTATAAAACCTGAGAGCCTAAGTAAGCTTTGAACTGGGCCACTACAAACTAAGTGTTTATTAAAAAGGAAAAAAGGGGGGGAAATGAAGTTATTACCTTGGAATGTTGCTCTTTTAACTTCATTATTATACCTGGATCATCCTTTTTGCTCGCCATAAGCAACCTGAACATCTGTTCTCTGTACTTGCTCATTATGAGTTCCAAAGCAGATTGATGCTCTTCAAGAGATGTGCGTAGTTCTACCAACATAATTTTAAATTCAGTTACAGTTTAACAGAGAAATAGTAAAACAAAATACAAAAGTACTTCAGCTTAGAGAAAATAATAATAAATAGAAAGGTCTTAATTGAGTGTCCCCACTCATTGCACCATGAAATCTACATAGGCTCTGCAAATGTCTTCAGTGGTGGCTGTCCTGCTAAAATACTTGTTCAGTCAGAAACATAATAACTTCATATGCAGTCCCTTTAGCTGATATAAGCTACCTTGAGTGCAGTTGAGGAGCTTTATTCTAGCCACTATAGGCAACACTCTACAAACCCTGGAAAGAATTTACAGATCTGCAGTTTGATAAAAGTTAAACAATCCTGTATTCAAACTATACTACATCAAAGGACAAATAACTCCTCAGGTAAGACAAGATTCATATGAATCAAGATCACTGCCTTTGCTGAATGTAACTGTTAGAATCCCTAAGATATTCCAGGAAGGAATAGTATATATGCCTAGTGTACTGAATTCCAGAAGGAATTATACTACTGCACTTATGCTACAACTTGTCCTGACTGCTCCTAAACTAGTTATTTTTAGCAGTGGGGAAAAAAACATTTCCAAATAGAACCTATATTGTAACTTAAATTTCTCTCTTCATTTGTGCTGAAAATTAGATAGGGACTGAAAAAACAGTTTTCCACAACTCTCCTTTTGTTAACCATAGTCCTACTGGTTGGACATTAGGACTCTATTAGATTACATTATGATCAGTTAAGCTGACAAATTCAGATTAGAGGAAAAGATTTCTTCTGCAATGATTTTTTGAGATCAATGGTAGAAGGCTCACTAATTCCAGGTGTGCAGCCTGGAACTTGTAAAGGATGGAATACTCATGTTTTACCTTTATTTTCCTGCTGCAATTCCCTAATCTGTCTGTTTTCTTGCTGGATACCCATCACTAATGTAGACCGAGGACGATGTCTTGCTACTTCATTGAGCTCTTGAATTTCTTCTTGATACTAGATATTAGAAAAACAAAACAACAAAAAACATCCACAACCTATTTGAGCAACTGAAAGCTGACATTACTCAGCAAGTCACAAAGACCAGTTCTATTGTCAAAGTCTGTAAGCAGGAAGGTAATGCTTGTTTTGAAATAATGATGTCAAACAAAATGCTTCTGAAGGTGTTGCTAACATACTTACTGCCCTTTAGAGACACAAAAGTATTGAGTTTGTTTTTAAACAAGTTTCATACCTCAGGTGTGTGTAGTGGGCATTATTAAACCTTCTATTATTACAGGTCAAATTCACCATCAGGTAATTTAAAAATCATATATATATATATATATATAGAGAGAGAGAGAGAGAGAGTAAAGAAAAGTCAGGAGTTATTAACCTCTGGATATTTACTGTGGCTTCCCAATACCTAACCAGAAGATTGCATGGATACAAGTCACATGGACCTGAATGAATGGATCCCAACTCTCAACAACTGGGTAAATGTAATACTCATGATCTGAAGTTATCAAGCCTCTGCGTGACTAGTTTCACAGGGCTGAAACACATACAGGGTTTTATAATTTTACAGGCCCATTAAAACATACAGTGTTATATTAGAATGACAAGATGAATTCCCACGTGTAAAGTAGTAGACACCTTTATGGTTTTCCAAAAGTTCTCTGGTAAAATTCATGTTCAAACTAACAACGTGCCTTGAATAGCTTAAAGTCAGGATGGAAATGATCTTGAATAAGTCTAACAGGTTTGCTGGTAAACAAAAGGAGACTGTGAAAGGATAAATTATTCTGAACAGAGGCAAGCATGACATATGATTAAGTATGCATTAATGATATGTGTATATGCATATAAATGATTAAATTAAATCTATATGATTAAATGTGCACATTAAAATTTACAAAAGTAGTACTTCACAGAAGAGCAAAATACAAAACACCATGTCATAGTTTGTAAGATACCAACCCATTTCTACCCGAGTATTTCCAACAAATTCTAGTTTTCAATATTTAAGCCAGAGTTACACAGAAAGCTTCACAGGGTCAAACTAAATATATAAACAGCTATTTTTAGATCATAGTCACACCTATAATGAAAATACTTAGTATAGCATTAAAGGATTAACCAAATAACATACTGATTATATGTTGTATATAAGCACACAAAAATTACTTTAAATTATGTGCTTCCAAGATGTTCTTTTAATGGAGTAAACAAAGTTGCTAAAACAAACCTGTTTCATTGCTTCAACCCGCTTGTTAAGAGCTGTAGTCTGTTCAATAAGAGCTTCTGCTGCGTTGTCATGTTCCCTCAGCCGTTCCACCAGTGCTTTTGCATCTGCTAAGGCTTTTTCAATTGTGCAACTCATTTCTAAAGATTAGAGGTATATTATTTTCACAAACCACCAGTTTTCTAGGCAGAGAACAGGTATCTATATGTATATTTTTAGTTTGAAGCAGGTGAATAGAACCCTTCCCTAAGAAACATCTAGACTGTTGTCTTTCAATAGCAGAAAAAACCTATATATCTTAAGAATACCCTAAAGTCTGCTCTTCCTTTTTTAATTGCTTTTGAGACCATATATCAGAGCAAGGAAATCACAGAATCATCAGAGTTGGAAGGGACCACTATAGATCATCTAGCCCAACTCTTGCTAAAGCAGGATCCCCTAGAGCACATTACTCAGGACTGCATTCAGGCAGGTCTTGCTTATCTCCAGAGAAGGGGACTCCACAACCACCTCGGGCAGCCTGTTCCAGTGCTCTGTCACCCTCACTCTTCCGCATGTTCAGATGGAACTTCTTGTATTCCATTTTGTGCCCTTTGTCCATTTTCCTATAGCTGGGCACTACTGAAAAGAGTATGGCTCCATCCTCCTTACACTCGCCCTTCAGATATTGACATTAATAAGGTCAGTCTTCTCCTCTCCAGGCTACAGTGTCCCAGCTCTCTCAACCTTTCCTTGTAAGAGAGATCCTCCAATCCCCCAATCATCTTTGCTGCCCTCCACTGGACTCTCTCCAGCAGTTCCCTGTCTCTCTTGAACTGGGGAGCCCAGAATTGGTATGCAGTATTCCAAATGTGGCCTCACCAGGGCAGAACAGGAGGAGGGATGACCTCCCTTGACTTACTGGCCACACTCTTCTTAATGTACCCCAGGATGCCATTAGCCTTCTTGTCACAAGAGCACATTGTTGGCTCATGGTCAGCCTGTTGTCCACCAGGGCACTGAGGTCCTCCTCAGGGCTGTCCTCCAGTAGGTCAGCCCCCAACCTGTACTGATACATGGGGTTCTTCCTCCCCAGGTGCAGGACCCTACACTTTTCCTTGCTGAACCTCCTTAGGTTCCTCTCTGCCCAACTCTCCATCATGTCCAGGTCACACTGGATGGCATCACAGCCCTCTGGAGTGTCCCCCACCCCTCTCAGTTTGGTATCATCAGTGAACTTGCTGAGGGTTCACTCTGCCCCTTTGTCCAGGTCCTTGATGAACGTGTTGAACAAGATCACACTGAGTATTGACCCCTGGGGAACACCGCTGGTTACAGGCCTCCAACCCAATCCTGCTCCATGGATCACAACTCTGAGCTCTGTCACTCAACCAGCTCTCAATCCACCTCACTGTCCACTTGTTTAGCCCACACTTCCTGAGTTTCCTAGTGAGGATGTTATGGGAGACAGTGTCAAAAGCCTTGCTGAAGTAATTTTGTGTTTTGAGGAGATTACCAATATATTAAGAGCAAAAGGAGGGCTATTAAACATACGGAAACTGAGCAGTGCATGTCCCTCCTTCCATAAGTAACAGAGGAAAAAACCCCACAATATTACATTAACTATTTCATTTTTTCAATACTATTTTTTGTTGTTGTTTTTTTTTATGTGCTCTCCTACCAGTCAGATATACTTCAGGATAATGTGCAAAGTACAAATCCAGCACAAAAAAGAATGGCAAAGAACTACACTGGGCTGGAATATTTTGATGAATTAAATGGCAGAAAAGGAATGGCTCAAACCAAAAGAGAAAATGACTTGGGGAAAATTCAGAGAGCTAAAGGCTTGTGTTTTCTTTGTGTCTATAAATGAACACAAACATCACTGCATACAAAGAATGCAAATTTTTTTAACAGGAAAGACTGCAACTTAGCTAAGAAAAAAACCCTGACTGCACAGTTAAAATACCAGCATTCTCCTTGCACTAGTTTGTTATCAGAAATTACCTATTTCTAGAATTGCTCAACTTGCAAAATGCTTGTACAACTGGCCTTTACATGAAATTTTTTTGTACTCATTTTTGATATACAAAATGGAAATGCACTTAAACTCCTTGAATGGTTCTTCAGCAATCAGACTGCAACGATAGAGGCTTATTAGAGTTATGTGCCTCACTGTTATGTGCCTTGATATTTGTTTCAGGAAACCTTCTAAGGTACTGAAAGAGTCAACTAAATCCATTTCTTAGCCAGGCCGTTTGCCTAAAGGAGAGATTTTTGTAAGCATAAAAGGTCAGGGGGTCTTTCCTGAGCTACAGAAAAAAAAAATTTCCTCCAAGTTAATTTTCTGACTTCTTAGGCATCTTGATAAATCATAGCCTAGGATTTTTAAGGCAAACTTTAAGAAACCTTCACATTTTTCCCTAATGACATTTCCCCACTGTCCCATGTAAGCAGTAGAAAGATACTTCAAACTCCAGAAATTCCACCATTCCCCTCATGCATTAAGCTGAGGGAAAACTAAGCAAGACAGCAGCAGAGTTTGGAATGTTGTCTCTGAAGAGCTCTTGTGCACCAAGAATGTCTTGCAAGGTCTAACCTCTCAAAAGCATTTCCATTTAGCAATTTCATTAGCTGCTCCTTCAGCTCTGAGGAGCACGTGTAACCTAAATGCATTTAGTTCACTTTAACTATGTAAAAGGGTCTTCCTGGGACCCTACCATCAGAGGAAGGTCGAGACTTGCTTACTGACAAAGAAGCTTCTGTAAGTGAGCTTCAGGTCTGCACAGAGCACAACTGTTTTAACCCAGGTTTTCTGTAATTCACATGATATCGAAAGCATCAGCATTTTGACATGTATGAGTTTCCTGTACACGTTTGTAACGTTAATTCCTTCCTGTTGATCAACCAGAGTTTTCATTTCAATGCATGTATGTATTTGAGGTATCAATCTAAGTTCTTCAGCAGTCTGGTGTGTTATCACAGGTAGTTAATTTATCCATTCTGGTTTAGCAGTTTGAGCTCTTTGCAGAAATAGGGATCATAGTGCATTGTTTTTAAGCACCTGCTTTTCTCACTCCTCATTTCTCTTTCTGATTCTGGTCTCATGCTTTTAGTGGACTACAAAAATATCACCAACAAAAGATAAGCTTCCAAACCAGCTGGTTAAACTGTTACAACAAAATATTTAATCAGACCCATATTTAAGGAGAATTTGAAGAGCAGTCTTTAACTCAATTAATGGGTCATGAATTCTCTAGCCAGTATAAACAAAACCTCTCAGGCCTCTCCATGAGCTTGGAAGTAATTTGGCACTCAGACTATAATGCAGTTAACACCTCTGACAATGTGTTTGCATCAATATAGATTTTTAAATGCAGTATGTATTCATTCTCTCATGCACTTACTCATTTTGACCCGACACAATTACACAAGATAAAAATAAACTCGTCTGTAGCAAAGCCACTGGCATTCTTATTCACCACGGATGAGCTGGGGAAGGCACATGGAATAGAAATGCATTTAGTTTACTTTTAACTACATAGGAGGCTGTCCTGTGTGAAATGCAGCCACACAAATTCAGCAGTGACTGTCCACATCACTGCATAGCAGCTTCAGCAGGCCAGAAGCCACCTCTTGTTTTCAGGCAAGATTTGCACCTCAAGAAGAACCATGATTTGTATCTTGGTAATTCATAGCGGCTCAAAATCTTCACTAGAATTCCTTTGGGCAAGACGTTGGCCCTAATCCTTGGAATTTAAAGTTCTCTACAGTTGCTCCTCTGGTTGTCTACAGAAACTAAAACTTTTGAATTGTCCTAAAATAGACCTAGATCTGCGCATTGCCTTGGACATTTAGGGGGAAAAAAACCCCCACCAATCAAATATATTTGATTCAGACCAGTTCTTTTTTAAGCATGAGGACTGTAGCAGCTTAACTTGCTGACTCCTGAACTCTATCCTACAGCTGCAAACACATTTGTTAGTCTGCAATCCAACCAACAGGTAGCAACAACTCAAGCAACATAGCAACACTGCTACTACATATTCATTTCCTGGCACTTCCTGCTATTCACTAATTGCTTTCATTATCAAATTGGGCTCCCCTTAAAGAAAAAAAACACAGCCAAAAACACCAAAGAAGAATGACTTTTGCACAACTATAGCACTGCTCTAGTTTACAGTCTCTTCTTTCTTTTACATCCTCACTGAAAACGCCTTTTCCTGCAACTGGCGCTTCGGGTTTTCCCTCTCCCTAGTTACCAGCTTCACCACGCTGCAGCTTCGAAGGCTCTGGGGCTTTCGGAGCCCTCCCCGTGCCCCAGGAGAGCCCCCGGGGCTCACCCGGCGCCAGCAGCACCGCACAAACCGCGACCCTCCCACATCAAACAGGCCCAGCCCATCCTCACTGAAAACGCCTTTTCCTGCAACTGGCGCTTCGGGTTTTCCCTCTCCCTAGTTACCAGCTTCACCACGCTGCAGCTTCGAAGGCTCTGGGGCTTTCGGAGCCCTCCCCGTGCCCCAGGAGAGCCCCCGGGGCTCACCCGGCGCCAGCAGCACCGCACAAACCGCGACCCTCCCACATCAAACAGGCCCAGCCCGAGCGCGGAGCC